ACAGCGGCCTCTGTCCTGAAAGATGAATAAGCAATGACCACATCAATTTCATTAGTGAAATTCTATAGAAAGAATCATTACATCATTACTCCCATTTGAATGAATCTGTCTAATCTTGTAATGTGCAGCTTTAATTTCACAAATTACCCTCTTCAACATATATAGTTGTTATTTACTCATTGCTGTTTATACTTTATGTATACTTTATTTACCTATATTGTCCTTTTCAGTTCCTTCATATTGTAATTCTCCTGAGTTAGGTTGATTGATTTTAGGCTATATAAATAAGATTTACTTGGCTTGACTATAAGGCCCTGGTATCAGGGAATGAGTGTTTTATAAAAGCCTGGGACCGGTCACACTTATAATACTTCCAGCTGAATAACTGGAAACTGTGTCTGGATTTTCAGTCCTTGGACATGAATATGAAAGTGTTGCCGCTGACTTAAAGCATAAATAATTTAAAACAAAAGTAGATATTACCATAATGACATAACTGAGCGTAAATCAATGTCTGTGCTTGTTGTTCAGATGGCACTCAGAGTGCAGGGAATGATACATGGATTGATGCTTTTTACATAATCATACCCAAAGTGATTATCATGGTCTGGTTGTGACTAACAGCTAATGGTGTAGAGATTAATCCAACAGTTACTCTCAGTCAATTAGACCTCCATCACATGTGCTGGAGCCACTCTTACAAATTATTTGACACAAGCCTGCAAGAGGGTCCTTCACGTGACCTGAATGACTTTGCCTGAGGTCTTGTCTGCCCATGGGAGGGTCATCACAGACTCTCTGTCTCCATTAGCCCTCCAAATACACAATTCCTTACATGTCATGCTCTGTTTTCCGGCTTAATCAGAGATTTATATGACAAAGCACAAACATTGATCTTAAATAGTCACATTACTCTCGCTTGGTGTGATCAAAAATATATATTTCATGGATGTATTGCCATGTAGGTCGGGCATTGTTAGATGATACTACTGCATGTGAGTGTAGAAACCATTTCTGGAGCCACAGATCTTTCCACAAATGGACCACATGATATAAGAGCAGGAAGTGGCCGCCATGATTGTACAGTTGATATGTATATGAACTGCCTTACAGCATGTAAAATGCAACACTAGAGATCTTTTTAAAACCCTTTGCTGCCATTATATAACCCTTACAAATCCATTTCCTTTATTGTCAGTCCACCTCCCTGCCCCCTTGTGATTTTCGCTGATAAGATAAAAATGAGACCTTTGAATTGCCTTACTGCTCTTGTAGGCTGAGGACTGACAACCGTTCTCCATTATAAAAGCATATCTGCTCGTGGTTTTTAATTTCACTCTCAACACAAATGTTTAGTATCAACCTTAAAGACGCTCAGCTGACATGGATGCACTGGAAGTAGGGATGTTGCAGCATCCCATAAAATCTCACATAACCATTAGTTAATTCAAATGTTGAAATTTAAAATAAAATTCTTCTTTTTTTAGTGGGATTTACATGTGAACACAATATTTTCAGCAGGAAAGAAGATTTTCCTTATTTGTATCTGTTTTATCCACTAAAAAGTTATACATTTTTTTGTAAAATATTGTTAATAACTATTAGGCTCCAAATTAACTCGGCCTTTCAAATTAATGCCAAAAATATCATGCACTTTTCCTTCATTCAGTGTCCCTGTCAGCTGATCAGTCTGTAGTGTGCCTGGTGTCTCCTTCAGTAGTTCCCCTGGTATGTAGGGTCACTGATCTGTTATTTCAACTGTAACACAAAACTTTTAATACAAAAATAAACTGTGATATGTGCACTTATACAAACACCTCCCCGACACTCACAGAAGGCCGCAGCTACGAACAAAAATGTCTCGATGTGAGTAGAGAATAACAGTATTTGTTTCAATCGTGATTGGAGGTAATTTTGGTAACAAGAATATACTTCAAAAGCATTGCTCACACTTCACTGGCGTGATTGTTTTCCCTCAAAGGACAAAACCAACATATGTTGACTGGTTGAGACCATAGCATCCGTCAAGAACAGCAGGTCTTATGATGGTCCCCGTCCCTTCCCCCGCGGACCCTCTGGGGATCTTGATGACCAAATGGATGTTTTGTTCTTGTTCTCTTTGTCCTCTCAGGTAGAGTGAAAGAAAGCCTTGCTCTAAATCTACCCTCTGTCTGAAAACTTGTCACAGTTTCACATTTGGGGGGCCAAACTGGTGACGCACTCAAAACGCAGTTCTTTCACTATTGTTTAGTTTTGGCAAATGCGTAGTGGGTATTGCTTAGTCGCTGTAATGCTGAATATCCTCGGCAGGCCAGATTGGCAAGAGCTGCCATTCATCTCTGATTAAGGTCAAATCACCTGAGACATGATGTGGACTGTTCCTGCACAAAGCTTATTCTGTCATCAAGATACACTCTGCCTAATACCACTCACAAATACTGTTGATCTTTCGATACTAAACTGTGGTCTATTGGTGTTCAAAACAAAATCTGATTAACTACAATATTTGCTTCAACAAAATGAAAAAAATATCAATTACTGCAACTGATTATATATTTACTGGAATTGGCAAAGAGATTGTTCAAAGGTTATTCTCCTAAAGTCCTTACAGGAACACAAACCAGGGATTGGGTTGTTCTCATTAAAGCTGATCCCAACCTTAATCAGTAATTACTGACTTACTATTCACACATTTGTCTGTTGGCATAAACATTGTAAAAAAAAATGTGCTCGAAAGGCCTTTCAATACACACATGTTTACTTATAATTCAAGGCTATCTTAAGTCATCAAATTTAATAAAATATATAGGCAAGGAAGAGCTATAGCTAGTCTATTCAGCTTCAAATTATTTTGATCCCACATGCCTTTTAATTACAGTATTATACAGTATGTTTGAGGGGGAATTAATGTATAATTAAATTATTCAGTTCCTTGAGAGAGGTATTATGAACACGGTTTCCCTTCAGAGATATAGGTTATATTAACAAAAACAAACATGCCATATTGCCAATACTTTACATTATTGTAAGAGTACTGTAGTGTTAACCTATGGTATCAGTCCAACAAAATTTTAAAAAAGTAGAAGAGGATTAGTTTGAAAGTAAAAAAACGAAAAGAAAATCCCTTTATGGCTGTTTTAAAATAATAGTCAGATGGGAGCTGACTTTGGGATCTTTAAACAACATCATCAATGAATTCCAGAGAGTTAAACACTCTGCAATGTCACTCAATTAGCTGCCACATAGTCAGCACTGATTACATAACAGACACAACACAATTTGCCAGTCTGGATCTCGTGAATGACTATTGCATAGATTAACTTGTGTCTGTCTGTCCACTGTTATCCACAGGTCATGATCTTACTGGCATAAGGTCACAGATTAAAAAGCTTGTGTTTTTTCCTCTTGTTGATTGGTTGAATTGATTGCATAAGCTTAAAAGAAAAGATTCCATCTGGTGAGTGTGAGGAAAGTATACAAAAACAATGCATTTCTGTTTAGTTTGTATGTGTAGTTTGCAAGCTTGTGCATGGTCAGCTGCATGACCCAAAACAATTGTTCCTCACTGGGTTTAGGTAATTATTATCTTAAAAGTGAGAGAACTGAACTTGTAGCATCCTCTAAAGATTCATTCAATTTATTTTTCGATACTTTAGGCACACTCATGAAAATAAAGTAAATAAAAGTAAATACATTTAAAAATAGGAGTCATAAACAGCTGCACATTCACCCTGTGCAACTCAAATTGATAAAGATTGCATCCTTGTGAGTTGAAAATGTAACAACTTGAGCGAAAGGTTTGTGGCTTTATGACTCCACATCATGATGGATGTATAGAAACGAAAGAATAAACAGGAGACACTGGAAGAAAATAACTGAAACAGATGGATGTCCAGGTAATGTTTAACTTCTAAGAACAGCAACTCGCCGTGATGCTTCATTCTGAGTTAACCACAGCTAATGTATGTGGCTTACTGTAAATTCAAACTGTGCAACAGGTCCAGAGGTCCAATTTTAAAATAATGCATGTAGAAAAAGTTTCTGTTTACCCACCTTTATCCATCTCTCTATTTATCTCCATCAACCAGCTCCTGAGAAAACATTTGGGTCATTATCATGTTAGGTGCTTGACTTTCTTCACCAACCAGTTTCCCTCTGGCTCTTTTGCGTTGTACACCAGGCTTGTCTGAGCTTGTAAAACAAAACAAAACCATAATGAAATCCCATGAACATCAATACTTAAAAGTGAGTCTTCCAACTAGTTAGTCACTATGTATCATAGTAAACAAATATGCTGCGTTATTAGGACAGGGGAGTGAATGATCTACTGGGAATGACTGACTGGGTAGCTATAGTTGTTGTTTTTTTTGGAAAATAAGTCTCAAATGCATCAGTGTTTCATTTTTTCTTAACTCACATAAAAGAACCTTGTAAAATACAGTCTGAAATTAGTTCTTTTGTTTGTTTAAATCAGGATATTTGATCAAAGATTAAATACAAATCGGATGCCAAGACTTTAATGCCACCTTTCAGTACTTCACAATTGGATGTAGTGTTAGAGATATATAACACTCTATTCATTTCCACCTTTATCACAAAATGCCTCTATTATACAGCATTTAATAATGTCCTACCAAAACAAAGCCTACTTGCTCCCACTGATCTGCCTCTTCCTCTTCCTTCTCAGTTTATTTTTCCCAAAGGAGGAAGTCAAAATAATTCTCATTCTCAGTTTTGCACATACATATTTGGACATAACTGTGAGTGAATTCACTATGCTGAAAACAATTGACCTGATATCTTTAATTTGACAACAATTCCTCCCTTTGTACATTGATTCCTGTCTTAAATAATCCCCCCCCTTAAATGTGCACATCCTTTAAAACCATTAGACCCTTTGTAGAAATGGACACAAAGAGGGCGTATGCCGAGGGGAGGGCTTGGGACCCTGCAGGCTCCGCCTCTCTGCATAATGTGCCGGGTTCATTGAAATGACTAGACAGCAGAAACACACAGCACCACAGAGGCTGCACGGGACACTCAACAAACTCCTCTCAAGTGTAAGAAAATAGGACTGCAAATATGACCCCGTTTCTGACTGGAAGAGTCTTTTGAGCAAGGGGACGAAGAGAAGATTTATTTATTTATTTTTACTTAATCTTAAGGAAGCTGATGGAAATCATTTGGGAATACAGCTTCCTCTCCTCCTCAACTGTGGTACCCTGAACTCAGACTACAAAGGGACGTGAGGTCGGGCACTGCTGGTTAAAATGGATACATTCTTTATGGAGGTAAGTTAGACCGCTTTCCCCACACAGAAAACATGTATTCTTTTTTACTGTATCACCACTTTTTAACGTGACTCCTATATTATTTTGCGACCGCGACGGTTTTTGTTTTGTTTTTACTCATTTTGTGTTTGTGTGCGCGTTTCCGAGCCTGGCTGTCTTCAGATCAGTTCCAGTTTTAACCCCCCACCCCTCCCTGTAAACTAGCAGTTAACTTATCACCTAAAAACCAACACTTTTTCACATTTAGTCTGCTATATTTGTGATGCATTCCCAGCCATTGATATACAGTAATATCCCAGACTAGCGGTAGTGGTGTGCATGCACCGGGGCTGGTCTACAGGATGCAGCTGTAATACCCCAACAAGCCTCGGATACATTAAAGAGCACTATTCAAAAATCCTCCTCCTTCAATTCTGCCCAGATGATCTCATTATTGACCAACAAAGACAAACAATCACTCCATGCACTCATGTGAGAGCCTCTTTGCCACCCTCTGAGCCTCAGATGAATATTCCCTCTTTTTGTAGTTTTATTGCAGAGAATCTCAGCCCTGAACTGCCTGTAAAAGCTGAGAGTGTGCCCATATAGATTGGATGTGTCATCTGCAGATCGGCCCAGACACAAACACACACATGGAGGTCGTGTAGAAACTGGCTATAGGTCTGATTTGTCATCCTCCTCTGAGTCAGAGGGCACACACACACACACACACACACACACACACATCACAGAAAGACAGACAGACAGACAGACAGACAGACAGTCTAAGTTATGCGAGTCTCCTCCACTCACAGTCCCTCCACTCACCTCCTTTATCAACAGCATCAGCATTACTTGACTCTCAGTGATGTGCTGTATTGTGACTCAGTATTTCAGAGGTGACTTCTGGATTATGCCGTCAGTGCTGCTTTCATGCTCTTACAATCTCTTGTCCAAAGGAGAAAGTTTAGCTTTAAAATGTTTTTCCGATTTCATTATCATGGTGTCAACAAGTGAGTTTCCCTGGTGTTGGATCAATAAAGTTTATCTTATCTTATCCAGCTGTGAGTTCTACAGAACCGTTGTGTAATGCTGTTGGTTTCCACATAACTACGATGGGGGAAGTACTAAATTCTTGTCATTTTTGGCAAGAAAGAGGTTAGACTTATTTACAGTAATATTTCTCTACAAAATACCCATAAAGGCAGAACCATGTCGCACCTGAAATGTAGTTTTTCAATGTTCTGTTGTTTAAACCAATCGTGTAGGGAACAGATTGAGGTGAGCTGGATTTTGAGTCATAATCTGATTTTATTAGAGAGATATCCTGTACAGGGGAAGGTTATTATTTCAGCTCAGCTCACCTCAGTCGAGATCATTGTTGAAATGTGTGTCTTTCGTCCTGAGCCAACTGTGTGAGATATCCCAAAAGATATATCTGGGCTGCAGTAGTTTTTTTCCCCTCTGAGTGGTATATGTAGGCTAAATTGCTTTTCATCCTGTGTCACGATGGACAGAATCTATTAGGGAAGAACAAAGTTTATATGTGTAATTTGGTTAGATTGTATCAATTTGTAGTATTTATGTGATGCTGTCAGAAGTTTAATTAAGTGTTTGACATTGAAAATGGATACTACTGTCATTTGTTGCTTCTGTGTTAGTATAACAAATGGGATAGCCCATTTTGACTATACCGCAGTGAAAATATAATATCATGGAGGAGACAAATTAACAAAGAAACATTTTACAATATAATCCACACAGTTCAGTACAATAATTCCAATGAATCCAACCTTTTGTAATGCTTATAATGATATTTTTGACACGTGTCAGGGAGGTGTTCATTCAACTCTATTGGGAGATCTGATGTTGTAGTTTGTAATGCTGCTGGATTATACGTGTTAAAGGCATTTCAGCTGACATGAAGCAAACACTACCCATTTTTTATGAAAAACTGCATTAAAATAAATAAACTGTTCTGTTTTTTTTAATGACTGTCGGGTCATGGAGAGAAGCCATCATCCTCTGTGCGACAAGCATGGATTTAATTAAGCAGGAATTCTGGAAGTAAAGTAAGAAGAGGATTAAACTCAACTGAGTGAAAACAAGTGCAATGGGATAAATCTATTCATTACTGTGTATCCAGAGAATCAATCAGACTGATTTTGACAGCTAACATAAAATAGACGTCAACACATAAATGATAGGATTGTCTTTTTGAGGCATTTGCATGTAACTGCTTTAACTGTGTTTTAAATCTGCTTCTTTATCTGAGACGATTCGCTTGCAGATCCGGTTTATTGATTTATCTCAGTCACTTCGTCTCGTTCTAATCTAGAGCCAGCTTTCCCTGTCACATTTCTGTTTATGATGGTGAATATGGGGACAGGGTTAGTGGGGCAGAGTAAGAGGAGTGTCAGGTACATGGGTGTGCGCTCAGAGGAAAGCCCATCCTGTCCATCAGCGTGGCCTTTCCTCTCAGGAGCTGACACAACACCATAAAACCCTCACTGCCTTGACTCCACACCCAATCCGTCCTCTGAATGGATGTGACCCACTAAACACAGACGAAAACCTGATGTGTGTCAGAGATCTTGTCTGTGCCTTCTAATGTCTGCCAGGCAGACCGGGATTGGTCATCCTAGACTTTCATGTCAGTAAATATGATCCCTGTATGCAATCTATTCCCACAAATAGGCTTGTGTGGCTTTGTGTGTGTGTGTGTGTGTGTGTGTGTGTGTGTGTGTGTGTGTGTGTGTGTGTGTGTGTGTGTGTGTGTGTGTGTGTGTGTGTGTTTAAAGATAGATTTATCTCCCTTCCTCTCTTTCATCTCTTCGCAGATGAAAACATTGTTAGTTCACACACAGTCACACCTTCACCCACAGAACAGAACCTCTTAGATATTGTCTTTCTGACACATCCTGTTGACGAAGTTGAATCCCAGCTATGTGCATTTCTAAACTTGGTAATCAGTTCCTTTATAGCAGCAGCTGCTACACACTGTAAAGCCACATGAGGACCTTTCCGCACCCGTTAACTCCTTCCTTGCATTACACACCAAATTCCTTTCTCTCAAAGATACTCGGACAGAGGGAATCCCAGATTCCCGGCCCTGACCCCTGACATTCCCGGTCATGGCCGCCTGTCATCCGTGCATTGTAGAGCTGTGGTGACAAGGCTTCAGGTTTCACACCGTCACCACCGCCCCACACACACACACAGCCAGACACATTCAGCCCACCCTAAAACACCCCTTGCAGCCCTATGTGCTGTTAATGTCTAGGTCTTTGAAGCCGGAGCTGTGGATCGGCATGCTCCGTAAGCATTCTCTCTTAAAATGGGTAATGTGAGAAAGGCCAACCTGCTCCGGAGGGTGGACTATTTTTCTACTCAGGGTCTTTTCTACCCAGTTGTCACTTCCTCCAGCTGCCACTTTAGAGAGCTGAGAATCTGAGATCATTGCTCGTCACTTCCAGCCTTGCAGACGGATGGTTGAGTAAGGAAGGAAGTCAGGAAGTAAAGTTAGCGTGTAAGGAAGGAAAAGTACAGAAATGGCTAATGGATCCTGCATTCCTTTGGATCTTTTCTGTCTTAACTTGTTGTTAAGCTTGAAGTGGTTACTGTGTGCACTATCACATTGAATTAGGGGACTTTCAAACAATGCTGTAAAGAGTCTTGAAGCTGTGGTGAATTAACAGCGTTGGTTCTTTATGAACAAACAGAGGGAGGTATTATTAAGGCAGTGCTTTATGTGTGCGTCAGCAGAACTCCTGCAGCTTTGGTACAGTCTGGAGGTGGTTTAATCTGTCACAAGACAGGGACTAATTACCAACAGGCATTGTCTGACCACACACCAAATAACATGGATAATCCTCCCTCATAATGATACAGATGCCTAGTGTTAGGGGAGGTGGTTTTAACCTAAATAATTTTCTACATTTTAATTCTGCTTTGAAATCAGAATCAACTCTTTGTAATGATAATAGTCTGAATCTGGTATTTTCTCCTCACTGGCTTGTGTTTGCATTGCTTGTGTCTCTATCAGTAACCTGACCCCTGTCTATCAGCGAGCTGACCATCACATGGGGAGCTCAGTGCTGTGATAACCTCCTGCTGACACCACGCTGTTGACTTTAGCTTTAACCTGCTACATCACCAGGCTTATTCAGACAAAGCTGTCTGTGTTTGCGGGGTATACAAGGAAAATAAACTATACTTATAACAAATAATGCAGTGCTGGAGCTTGTCTTCCTGTCTATTGTTAGCTCGTGATGATGGACAAACAGTTGCTGTATGAAGTGACGTGACAACTTTTTCATGGAGTCTCTGATGGTGATCTTTGTCTGCTTGTCCGCCCAGAACCAGCAACGTTGAAGCAAGAGTTTGACGTTTTGGGAATTACGCTCATAAGGCCATATATAGTATAGCTTTACAGTTGTAGCATAGAGATTGGAAACAGACTTTCAGTGCCTGAAATAGACCCTAACCACAACATACCAAACCAAACATGTTATCCATTTAACAAGGACATTTTCAGTGCAGTTTTCTCAGCGTTAAGCTCACTATATGTTTACACACGAATGCAGTTACGCAGGCATTAGCCTACCTTTTTACTAGCCATATTTCTCCCCTACTCTACCTGATTGGTCCTGATGCTGATTTTTTTTTCTAACCATCTCACTCCTCATGCCTAAACCTAACCAACCAAACCATCAAAGGCAATTAACGCACTACCCAATCAGAGCAGAGTAGAGCATGTCTACTCTAATCATTAATGTAGTGCTGGCTCATTTCAAGCATTGGAAACAGGAGGAAGCAGCTCACTAGTTAATGTCTTTATTTGTTTAATCGGCATTTTAAAAAAGTATAAAAATGACAATTTGGGGTTCTACAGGGGGTTATGTGAGGAACTCTTTCCTGGCTGAGAATGTGTTAATAAGTGAGTTTTAGATGTGCTGGGAAGTGGATTTTGTTACATTTGAATAAAGCAAGGCTAGTGGTTTCCCTTTGTTTCCAGTCAT